CTCATTAATTGAAGATCATTTTATGCACCTTTTCTAAAATAATCTTTACCACCAACTGCTCTTAACTTTTTGTGCAGTGTTGTAAGAAGTTTTTCTTATGTACTTCATGCAAATTTTTAACTAAATAAAACCATATTCAACTTTTATGACATGTAAAGAAATTGGCTTTCAGCCAAGCATCAGGACTCTAAAAGTACTTCTACACTAATACCTTTCCTACTTTGCTGTTTCCCCGGTGAACTTACAATGATTAAAGTCCTTCTAAAGTTTTGAGGCAGGAAAGACTTGATGCCACAGTTCGTAACACAGAGCTGTCCATAGCACATACACAATTCTATCCATGGCCTATGTATCAAACAGGAACACAGGAATTTTCTGCCATTTGGGAGCTGCAGTGGTTTTACAATATTCATAATGAATTGTGAAATACAAACAAAGAAGCACAGACCTTGCCTAAAAAAACCAAACTGCAGTCAGAGAGAGTAACTCAACCCAACCTGAGTAACCATTTTTAGCGTTTCTCTGGTATTTATTCTGTAAACACTTACTTAATTTTTAATTAAGGGATTTTTCATTGGTGTTTATTTGCTATGGAGTAAAGCCTCACAGCTCTAAATATAAGACAAATTATTTCAAAAAAGTAAGGCAGCTCTTGGTTTTGGGTGACGGCATCAGTTAAAAACGTACTTCAAAGGTAGTAACTTTAGTTCATTAGTCTAAGGAGTTTCCATATAAACAACAGAACAACCACAGCACAAAATTCAGTTTGGGATAAACTATCAACACACAGTTCAAAAGTTTTTTTAAGAAATGATCCATTTTAAAGGAGTAGAGAATATACACTCCCATCCATTAATTGCGAGTGACATGCAAATACTCTGAGAACAATCATCTTTTCGACTTTTCAAAAAAGGAAACAGAATGGAATCCATAATACCATCATAAAAATGAGGCTCACGTCGTAACGCCTTTTCACAACCCCAAAACAATCTCCACATTCAAAGCTCAGAAACTTTTCTTCCTAGCTTGTATTACAAGCTAGCTCACTGTTGCAAGCAGCACAAGCACCTGTGCACTTCGTAATACAGTCATTTTTAAATACTCATTGTTTAGGATGTATGACCTATAAAAATGAAACCTCAAAGCTACATATACTCATCCCAGGTTAAAAATAAAACCCACGCTCTTGAAGGAGAGCTGTTGATCGCACTTGCAGGGAATGGAACAGCCTCTCCAACGTCTCTGTAGAACCCCAGCGCAGATGACAATACCATAACAAACCTGCGCGCTCCAGCAGCCGGTATATTTTAAGTAGTAAATCTGCAACCTAGAGACTAAACTGAGCTGGATCCAACAGCTCGCTCCCCTCCGAGAACAGCCTCTCACTTCTTGAAACTGGCTGTAAACAGGGAAAGGGAGGGGCCTGCTGCCTGCCAAGCCAAGCAGAAACTTGTGAGTAACTTATAGAGGAAAAACAAGTGCAGCGCAGGCAGGCACGCAGAGTAGCACGCTGCCTGGGCGCTGGCGAGAGGCCATCACCATGTTTCCAGAGAGAAACAAGACAGGGCTTTGCGGCCGGCTTCCCTCCTCGGAAATGCTGCTTATCAAACGCGTGCGGATCCGGCAGCGCGGAGGAATGTGAAACGTGAATTGAAGGTAAGAGGCTTTACACCGACGCTGCTGAAGTTGGGGCCGTGGGAAAGGCAGGCAGGAGAGCGAGCGGCGGCCGGCAGGCGAGGCGTTC